TCCCTGTACCTGGCCCATAGTTTGCCGATTGCAAATGCCTCCAATTCCACCATGTAGTTATTCTTTATAACTAGAGATAAAAGCGAGTTCATGACTTAGCCTCATGTTTGCATACTCGAGTTGGCATTTAATGCAAAATACGAACTGTTCCTTGTAAAAGAAGTGGTTTGACATGGTTTTCACATCTTGCTCCTATTGGCTGGGAGACATGAAGAAGACACCTTGTCCAGAATCCAAATTATGCATAATGTCTACCAGTCGGACCCTGGACTTGGTACCTTCCAAGACATTTCGCCGGCATCTTCAGTGACCCTTTCTTCAATCGTCTGCTAAACAGTTGTGGTATCTCTCCTTCTGTCCTGGAGTAGTCACCTTTCCCATATCCTCGTAACATTATCTCCTTTTGCTTTCACAATTTTCTACTCATTTATCTAAACCCAGTTCACGTGTGCCCTTTTGAGTGGACATGGCGATACCTATTCACACTCCTCGCTGGCCTTCTCACCCCCCACTCCACTCCAACCTTGTGCTGTGAATGTTGATCTCAGTCTGCCATATTAGCCTCCAACCTTCTTCCCATTGGCCCTATCACTCTCTCCCTCTTATCGCCATGGTTCACTGATTCCATTCGACCACTGCCACCAGATCTGTGCTACTCGACGCGTTGTGCTCTACACTCTGCCTCAGGCCGTTGATAGCGCCTACACACCCGCCACACCGAGTAGCCCCCCACAGAGTCTGGATTCTCAAGTGGCATGGCAACCTAACTTGCTTATGCAGATCCGCTTGTCACTGTTCCTTAGAGGCACCGGGCAAGTCTCGTGGTCAAGCCTTTACTCCATGGACCATGTCTGTAACTTTCATATGCCCTAGTCTTTTGTGTGTCCACCTCAAATGTGATATTTCTACTTGATTTGAGTAGACTGCCTGCATTCGTTACGTCTTGGTTTCCGATTATTTCTCCATGGCCTCCTTGCGATTTCTTGTATGTACAGCGTACGCGGCCAGCATTTGCGTCGATTTCCAGTCGATTTAGTGTCCATCCCGTGCAATGTCTTACTCTGTTCGTATCCACATTTCGGCAGAATCTTTGATCTTCCTTGATTGGTTTGCTGCTTTTCTTCCTGGAAGTGGGTTGACCTCGTTGTCGCAACTTGGTCTTGTTGTCAGTGCGACTTAGTAGAACGCAACTGGTCCGAAATCGTCTGCCATAGTAGTTGTCATGATTCCCAGCATCAGATTGTGGACTTGGTACATTCTCAAACGTTGCGTCGGCACCGTAGTCGGCGTCATCAGTGACTTCCCTTCACTGTTTGACGAGTTCGTGGCTTGGTGCGGAGAATGGCAAAACTGACTGATGATGCCGGTGAAACGTTTGAGAATGTATTAAGTCCACTGTCAGATGCTGGGAGTCATGACAACTACTATGGCAGACGATTTCGGACTAGGTGCGTTCTACGAAGTCGCCCTGACAACAAGACCAAGTTGCGATAACGAGGTTAACCCACTTCTATAAATCGAAAGGAGACTGTGACCATACATAGAGGCCACAACATCTTGGTCTTCATATCTTTGATTTTCTTCCTGTTTCACCAATTTTTGTTTTGTGTACAGTTGTCAATTTCGAAATGACAATGAAAAGTTTTTCTCCATTTCGTGTGGCGGTAACTGCTTGCAACTTTACGCTCACAGTTCGATTCCCTCTCGTCTCTACCAATTTGAGAATGCGCAATAGTATTAACTCATTACAGCCAAAGTGGATTACGACCGATCCTAAGGACAGCCCATTTCGGTTTTCTCCACCTCGACACATTCGTCTATTCCAGTCTCCCCTTTTGTTCTGCGATTATGAGGACAACCGTTTTTGCAACCACAACCGATGGGTTGAGTGGACATGGGCTTAATCATATTGTATGGTAGATATGAAAACCAAGATGGGGTCGCAGTCTCCTTTAGCCTCACAGTGTCGCTTCGACCTCGCTTTCGCAACTTGGTCGCAACGTCATGGAGACCGCGTGGAACGTGCCATGGTATTTGCGATTTCAAGCATCCGACTTGTTAAATTTCCAAACGTTTCGTCGACATCGTCACTGAGAGGTGTCATCGTCAACACGGAGCTACAACTGACTAAACTAACAATCATATTTGCTGACGACTGCGCTCGAGCCCCTTTGCTGGGTCGAGGTCGAAAGTACAGTCTTGTTGTGATGACGAGACCTTTTGAAAGGCGACGTCGAGTGGAATTTGAAAGTATTTCGAGACCTGCTCAATTCGCCGTGGAAAGGTTCCACTCTCAACGGCCTATGCGACACGAGATGACCAAGTTCTCATTCAACAAAGACTTTGTTGTCGAGTTTCGCTCTAAAAGACAAGTTGGTTGGACGGAATACATGAATTGGCCGCACCGGCAATTGAAGGAGGACTGGGCCGGGCGAAGACTGCTTGAATGGGAGGCAGGAGTGCAAACATATGAGGCTTGACTATTGCATGCAGTCAATGCACAATAAATATCATACGCCTTGACAACTGGAGGATGATACTTTCTTTTCACGAGTCAACTGCATCCACCTCCGAGCATGGCTAGGCATGGAGTAGCCAACCCAATCATGCGAGGCCTGCTTCGGATCGCAAAGTTGGACGTGAGCCGGACGCGTTTCTGGATTATCGCAAATATGCATTTTTAGCTCTGACCATGTTCATCACTTGAGCAATGCAAGATGGACAGGACGGTGAGCCCAAGGTCTTCTTCGCACAATCCAACGGTCTTCCGGCGCGGCCCATTCTCGAATTTTCTGTCCACCAACTTGCCCTCGAGACGAAATGTCCAATCAAGCCAAGTTGTGGTGGCCTTCATTTTGTGTGGAAATGTGCAAGAACACTTGTCTCCGGCTCATCGCACCGGAAACGGCTTTGCACACGTGACTGTACCCACCTTTACTTTCTCCAGGCGTGAATGTCATCAATTCCAGGTAGGCCTCGAAACTCACCTTCTCTTCATACCTATCACCATGGCAACGGGCGACCAAAACAGTGTCCCACATACGCGAATTCTGGTGGGCCTCCCCGGCATACCCACCGCACGGGATGCCGGGTCATGGCTGCCGGATTCATTGATTTTTAAGCCCCATCGTCGAGTTGACATCGTCTGCCCGGCCCACGAACCAATCAGATCAGCCGTCTGTCGCCCCTTATCACCTCGTGACCCGCCAATCAGAAGTGAGTGCACTTTTGCACCTCTTCGACTGATTCATCCATTCGACAGGCTGGCTTTCTGCCACGCCGGCACAGGCTTCCTGTCGAGGCTGCTCAACCCTTTGGCTCGCTGTTGGGCCACTGCCTCTCGTGTCACCCTGTGCGTGTGCATGATGTTTATCGGTTTTAGGGTGTCTTGCTTTCACCTTTCGTGTGATTGTGACTTTTAAGTTGTGCTCTTCACTCTTTTTCCTACTTTAGATGGTCTTTCCTCGAGCCAACCTGCCGTTATGGGGACCGCATGTCTGCACTTTACTTTTGCCCATTTGTCCATGGCCACAAGATAACATTGCTGAAGGGTCTTTCATTTGGTAGGGGGATGCGTTGGTTGATTTCACCAGAACCTCTTTGTCTTTAATACCACTTTCATGTTGGCGCAGTAGACGAGACGTGCTCCCTCGATTCGTGCGTTGCCGGACATCATCAGTCTCAAAGTAACACCACATCAAGAAAACTGTCCGGCTCTATCGTACACGTTAAATATACACATAAAGGAAAACAAAAATATATAGGCATAGACAGATGGATAAAGAATTATTTTTATCTTTTTTATTTTGCTTTTTTATTTGCGAGTATAGACAACGTGTTAAACCAACGATGAATGTCAAGTTCTGATAATTTCTGTCATTTGATGGAGGAAAGCTCGGTCTGGTTTCATGCGAAACGGAGGAGGTTGTTTCGTGGAATCGCCAGCGTGTTATTTGTGTTAAAGCCGACCAGCCAGAGGACAACGTTAATCGGTCGTGGTCTGGTGATGGGATGAACCAACGAATGTCTTCTTGTTTCGTAGCTCAAACAGAGCCCGAGGCCAAAGTAGACCAAATTTGTACCGATGAGGGGAACTTATGCTCAACCTCGTCTTAAGCGGTTACGAGATTGAACAATTTGCATGCAGCGGTTGGAGCATCGTAAAGTTCGATTCGATGCAGGGATAATTTTTTATTGTGCATTATTTCATATTATCTTCACTTGATGAGCCTGGCAGATATTGAAGGGCAAAGTTTGTGTGCCCCTCTTCCTCTGCCCCTTCCTCTTCCTCTTTCTTTTCTTCCTTTTTCTCTTCCTTCTTTCCTCTTCCTTTTCCTTTATCTCTTCCTCTTTCTTTTCTTCTTTTTCTCTTCCTCTTCCTCTTTCTCTTCTTCCTTTTTATCTTCCTTCTTTCCTCTTCCTTTTACTTTTTATCTTCCTTTCCTCTTCCTTTTCCTTTATATCTTCCTCTTCCTCTTTCTCTTCTTCTTTTTCTCTTCCTCTTTCTCTTCTTCTGCCCCTCTTCTTCCTCTTTCTCTTCTTCATTTTTCTTTTCCTCGTCCTCTTCGTCTTCGTCTTTCTCTTCGTCTTCCTTCTTTTATCTCCTTTTCCTTTATCTCTTCAGCTTCCTCTTTCTCTTCTTCATCCTCTTTCTCTTGTTCCCTTTTTTCTTTCTCTTCCTTTTTCTTCTTTCTTCTTTTTCCTCTTCCTCTTTTTATTCTTCATCCTATTCCTCCTTGTCTTCTTCCTTTTTCTCTTTCTCTACCTCTTTCTCTCCGTCTTTATCTTATTCTTCCTCTTTCTCTTTCTCTTTTTTCTTTTAATTTTTATTTTCCTCTTCTCCTTCTTCTTCCTCTTCTTTCCCTTCCTCTTCCTCCTCCTCTTTCTTTTCTCTTTCCTCTTCAGCTTCTTCCTCTTGCTCTTCCTATTCTGTCTTTTTCTCTTTCTCTTCTTCCTCTTCCTTTTCCTCTTCTTCCTCTTCCTCCTTTCCTCTTTATTTTCCTTTATCTCTTTCTCTTCGTTTTCCTTTATATCTGTCTCTTCCACTTCCTCCTCTTTTTTTCCTTCCTCTTCCTCTTCTTTATCTTCCGCGTCCTCTTCCTCTTTCTCTTTTTCTTCCTCTTCTTTCCCTTCCTCTTCTTCTTCTACTTCTTCATCTTCGTCTTTCTCTTCCTATACTTTCTTTTTTTCTCTTCCTTTTCCCTATGTCTCATTTCTTCTTCCTTATTCTTATTTCTTCCTCTTCCCCTTTCTCTTCCTCTTCCCCTTCCTCTTCCTCTTCTTCCCCTATCTCTTCATCTTCCTATTCATCCTCATTCTGTTCTTCTTTCTTTTTTAATTCCTCTTCATCTTTTTCTCTTCCTTTTCCTTTATCTTTTCCCCTTCCTCCTCTCTTTTTTCTCTTTCTCTTCCTCTTCTTTATTTTTATTTTTCTCTTCCTTTTATTTATTTTTCATTTTTCTCTTCCTCTTCCTCCTTTCCTCTTACTTTTCATTTATCCCTTCGTCTTCCCCTTACTCTTCCTTTTTTTCCTTCCTCTTCTTCTTCTTCTTCCTCCTTCT